GAGCCGTTGCCCGGAGGCTCGGTCCGTCCTTCAGGGCCCTGCTGTTTGGGCGTGGCGGGGGCGCCGTTTGTGAGCCTTGACGGCTGGAAGCGAGCTAGTTTGGGAGCCGTTGCCCGGAGGCTCGGTCCGTCCTTCAGGGCCCTGCTGTTTTGCTGTGGCGAGGGCGCCGTTTGTGAGCCTTGACGGCTGGAAGAGAGCTAGTTTTCTTGTAGGTTCAGAAAGCAACGTTAGGCAGTGGGAGCCGTTGCCCGGAGGCTCGGTCCGGCCTTCAGGGCCCTGCTGTTTGGGCGTGGCGGAGGCGCCGTTTGTGAGCCTTGACGGCTGGAAGAGAGCTAGTTTGGGAGCCGTTGCCCGGAGGCTCGGTCCGTCCTTCAGGTCCCTGCTGTTTTGCTGTGGCGAGGGCGCCGTTTGTGAGCCTTGACGGCTGGAAGAGAGCTAGTTTTCTTGTAGGTTCAGAAAGCAACGTTAGGCAGTGGGAGCCGTTGCCCGGAGGCTCGGTCCGTCCTTCAGGGCCCTGCTGTTTTGCTGCGGCGAGGGCGCCGTTTGTGAACCTTGACGGCTGGAAGAGAGCTAGTTTGGGAGCCGTTGCCCGGAGGCTCGGTCCGTCCTTCAGGGCCCTGCTGTTTTGCTGTGGCGAGGGCGCCGTTTGTGAGCCTTGATGGCTGGAAGAGAGCTAGTTTTCTTGTAGGTTCAGAAAGCAACGTTAGGCAGTGGGAGCCGTTGCCCGGAGGCTCGGTCCGTCCTTCAGGACCCTGCTGTTTGGGCGTGGCGGAGGCGCCGTTTGTGAGCCTTGACGGCTGGAAGAGAGCTAGTTTGGGAGCCGTTGCCTGGAGGCTCGGTCCGTCCTTCAGGGCCCTGCTGTTTTGCTGTGGCGAGGGCGCCGTTTGTGAACCTTGACGGCTGGAAGAGAGCTAGTTTTTCTTGTAGGTTCATAAAGCAACGTTAGGCAGTGGGAGCGGTTGCCCGGAGGCTCGGTCCGTCCTCAGGGCCCTGCTGGGTTTGGGCGTGGCGGAGGCGCCTTTTGTGACCTTGACGGCTGGAAGGAGCGTTTTGAAGGTTTGGACGGGCTGGAAGAGAGCTTTGTTTTTCTTGTAGGTTTCAGAAAGTACACCGTTACGTGGAGCGGTTGCCCGGAGGCTCGGTCCGTCCTTCCGGGCCCTGCCTGTTTGGCGTGGCGAGGGCGTCCGTTTGGGCCTTGACGGCTGGAATGAGAGCTAGTTTTGGGAGCCGTTGCCCGGAGGCTCGGTCCGTCCTTCAGGGCCCTGCTGTTTTGCTGTGGAGAGGGCGCCGTTTGTGAGCCTTGACGGCTGGAAGAGAGCTAGTTTTCTTGTAGGTTCAGAAAGCAACGTTAGGCAGTGGGAGCCGTTGCCCGGAGGCTCGGTCCGTCCTTCAGGACCCTGCTGTTTGGGCGTGGCGGAGGCGCCGTTTGTGAGCCTTGACGGCTGGAAAAGAACTAGTTTGGGAGCCGTTGCCCGGAGGCTCGGTCCGTCCTTCATGGCCCTGCTGTTTTGCTGTGGCGAGGGCGCCGTTTGTGAGCCTTGACGGCTGGAAGAGAGCTAGTTTTCTTGTAGGTTCAGAAAGCAACGTTAGGCAGTGGGAGCCGTTGCCCGGAGGCTCGGTCCGTCCTTCAGGGCCCTGCTGTTTGGGCGTGGCAGAGGCGCCGTTTGTGAGCCTTGACGGCTGGAAGAGAGCTAGTTTGGGAGCCGTTGCCCGGAGGCTCGGTCCGTCCTTCAGGGCCCTGCTGTTTTGCTGTGGCTAGGGCGCCGTTTGTGAGCCTTAACGGCTGGAAAAGAGCTAGTTTTCTTGTAGGTTGAGAAAGCAACGTTAGGCACTGGGGGCTGTTGCCCGGAGGCTCGGTCCGTCCTTCAGGGCCCTGCTGTTTTGCTGTGGCGGAGGCGCCGTTTGTGAGCCTTGACGGCTGGAAGAGAGCTAGTTTGGGAGCCGGTGCCCGGAGGCTCGGTCCGTCCGTCAGGGCCCTGCTGTTTTGCTGTGGCGAGGGTTGCCCGGAGGCTCGGTCCGTCCTTCAGGGCCCTGCTGTTTTGCTGTGGCGAGGGCGCCGTTTGTGAGCCTTAACGGCTGGAAAAGAGTTAGTTTTCTTGTAGGTTGAGAAAGCAACGTTAGGCACTGGGGGCTGTTGCCCGGAGGCTCGGTCCGTCCTTCAGGGCCCTGCTGTTTTGCTGTGGCGGAGGCGCGGTTTGTGAGCCTTGACGGCTGGAAGAGAGCTAGTTTGGGAGCCGTTGCCCGGAGGCTCGGTCCGTCCTTCAGGGCCCTGCTGTTTTGCTGTGGCGAGGGCGCCGTTTGTGAGCCTTGACGGCTGGAAAAGAGCTAGTTTTCTTGTAGGTTGAGAAAGCAACGTTAGGCACTGGGAGCCGTTGCCCGGAGGCTCGGTCCGTCCTTCAGGGCCCTGCTGTTTTGCTGTGGCGGAGGCGCCGTTTGTGAGCCTTGACGGCTGGAAGAGAGCTAGTTTGGGAGCCGTTGCCCGGAGGCTCGGTCCGTCCGTCAGGGCCCTGCTGTTTTGCTGTGGCGAGGGCGCCGTTTGTGAGCTTAACGGCTGGAAGAGAGCTAGTTTTCTTGTAGGTTCAGAAAGCAATGTGGGGCATTGCCGTGCGGTGTGGCAACCTTAAGCTGGAAACTTCATCAGGTATGCATGCGCCACTGGTTGGTGCGACACTGCCGGCCGCTGGGATTGCGATGCGTTACCTGAATTCGGCCGGAAGCCAGTGTTGAGTGCACCACCGTGCCGCATGTTGGACATGCATGCGAATATGTGCGACCTGCGAGCAGGCCATTGGCAACGCGAAATTGTTTGCCGCAGCCATTACCGCGGCGGTGATCGACGCGCCCTGTTGCCACAGGGCTTTGCACAGACTTGGCACAGTACGGGCAGATGTATATGTGCAGTCGTGGCGGTGCTGTGTCAGGCCCGACAGCAAGCTGCTGGTTCGATGAGTGGGCAGTGTCCGTTTTGGGACCTTCTGCTCGCGTGGAAGTTTGTCTTGCTTCGTGTATTTCCTGAATTTCCTTGCGAACGTCCTCTAGGATTGCTGCGTGCCGGTGGCGGGTTTCGCGTTGGCGCAAGCGGGCCAGGCGTTGATTCGTGCGATGAGCAAGACGGCAAACGAAGGCAAAGGCTGTGCATGCGTTGCATACTTGTGTGCCGTTTTGAGTATATTCACGACCTTGTTGCCAAGCTGTAAACTCTGTTCGTGGCTTGCGTTCCGCGCACTGGCGACATTGCCAACAGCCGCGTAGTTTGGTGGCACATTCTCTGCAGCAGCGGCGATCCGCGTTGCGAGCTTTCCATGCGGCTGCGCCAAAGTCGGATTCTGCTTTCACAACGCCACACTTGAAACAAGGTTTCTTCACTTCACATGTCAAACACACACGAAAAAAACTACACTGCCGTTGACGATGCTTTGCTGGAAAATTGTCTTCGGCATGCCACAGCTTGCAAACGTTGCATTGCCACGGCGTTCCTGCGTCTGCGTAGTGCTTTGTGCATTCGCGACAGACGCGATCCTTGTCCTCGCGCTTCCATTGACCGGTGTCAAATTCTGAGGCTCACGCGCCACAGAAGATATGCCCAGGGGTCGGCGGCAGGGGGCGGAGCCCTTTAATATATGTACTGTATGTCACTTCATCCAGCTGCCGTCAAAGTTGCATAATTCGCATGTGGTGTGTACTTGCCCTTTGGGCACTCAATGCCCTCCTCCTGGCAACGGAATCGACGCATCAATGGTTCGTGCGGCCGAACGAACATTGCTGTCGCATCAAAAGAATATCGTAGAGTCGTGGTCAATGCTTGGAATAACACTGATCAATTACAGCAATTGCACCACCAGCTCATGATAGCTCCATGTTTGGAGTATTTGTTCTGATTGTTGGCGTTGAATGGTTTGAAGCTGCTTGACATGCCTGGCACAAACGCTGCACGCAGCAGCGTGCATCAGAATGGCCAAAGATGCCTCGACGGGCAGAACAGACTGATTCGTCGCGGAAAAGATTAGAAAATTGTGTACTGTACAGGAGTGGGCGGTGAGATTGATTTTGCTCCTCTCATGGACTTCAACCAGCTGTACGAGCCGAAGACTTGAAAAGATTGAGAATGCAATCCTGTTTGCAAGGTTCTTTGGCCATTGTTGGCTTTGATGTTGGGGATTCCTCACGGAACATACTTTAATCGACAACATAACCATGCCAAAGCTTGTGTGACACGAAAGCCAAGCCTTTGCTCTTGAGCTTGGAGTGGGAGGGGCACTGGTAGACGTCGCAGGACTGTCAGCGCGGACTGGTGAGGAAGATTGTCACGGAGTGATGCAAGTGAGAAATGCAAGTGAGATAAATGCAAGAAATGCATGAAGGAAACATGATGAGTGTGTGTTCCAATGTGCTCCAAATCTGCATGAGACAGGTCTTTTGAAGATTGTTTCGTGCTGGATTTCAAGACTGGTCCTAGCCCGTGATCAAGCACCCACCTGTGGAGTGAGGCAAATGTCTGTCATGTAAATCTCCCCTGAAGTCCAGTTTCCCGGCGCCAGGTACCTGTGTAAAAGGCAAGAATACATGCTGGTACAGAATATTTCTAGAACAGATGCCATGGTCAAAACATGGTATATTTTGTGATGTGAATCCTTATGCCTTATGTAAACCCCTGTCATGGTTGATGGCTTTCCATTCATGGCTATCCTCCAATGTGGGTGTATACTAGTGTATACCTCAACTGTTGATCATGGCACATGTATGGTTGTTCTTAAGAACTCATGCAGTAGTGCCCTTGGAACAGACTACTGTAGTGCACCACTCAGACAAAGTCAGAAACTGAAGGAGAAAACCTGTGGAGTGGCCGTGGTCACTGGAACTCCAACTTGTCTGCTGCCTGTCCCACTGGACCAGACACCTGCACACCCGCAAAGCTTGGGCGTTAGACATCCTCAAGAGATTCAAGAGCAACAGAAGGGATCGTCGATATTCGTCAATGCTAAATCACACTCCGATCAATCTTTTTCCATCCAGCATCTGGCATGTCTGACTCTGGTCGAATCACCAATTTTTCCGGCCAAGCATACCCGCTACATCCTTTCGGGCTGTCAAAGTTCAGTAGTTCATTCTCGCTTCAGTCCAACTGAAAGCTTGATTTACACGTTTTGGCCAATTGGCATGATTTCTTTTTGGCTTGCTGCCACATCCAACTTCAGCAGTGTTTCTTGGAGCCGCTCCTCTCGTTGACTTTGGCTTTAGGTACCAGCAAGAGCAACCGTGTAGCAGTTGATGGAGAAGCTGTCGGGTATATCCTCTGCAAAGATGTTCGCAATGCGTAGAGATGACCAGTTGAGAAGAGCTCCTTTGCCTTGCGTAGAGGTATCAAGATGCTCAGAAATAAAATCGCTGCGAACAGGTCCAGGGGGAGGTTGCCCAGCACCCGACCAGGCGGAAGGAATCCAGGAAGCGTGATGAAGCGTGTCTTTTATTGACACAAACATAGTCCTGCCGGCTTCCAGGGCTTCCCAGCACAGCAAGGTGTGAAATCGGCGTCAGGCACCGACCACTCGGCTGCACCATAAACCTGCACTGGTCCCTCTGGGCCCTCAGCAACAGGTCCGCTCTTCAGGTTGCCTCAGGGATCTGTTTTGCATTGTTCCTCTTAAAAGACTGGAATTCTTGGTCCATTGACATGGGAAGCTGCATCAAAGCAAACTGACAAATGTCCCACACTGCTCGCCTGAAAACAAGTTCGGTGAAGAATTGGTCTCACGGTCACCACTCCCACTTTGCTCAGCTGCTAAGCGTCTTGACACGAGGAGGTGCCTGGAGAATGATCGTCAATTGCCACAAAAGTCAACCGGATACAATAGGTCATATAATCGTTGGGAGGCAAGACATCACACACTAGCCAAAGCAATGTGCCATTGAGCGAACTGTCTTAATTCAAAAGCAATCAAGCAACCTACTCACCTTGTACCAGTTGCCTAGTTGGCAGATGTTTGTGACCCGATCGTCTGAAATCTCTCCTCGAAGCGAGCCATCGCAGGAGTAGAACCAGGATCGATGCACCCAGTGCAATGAAGGCACCAGGTTTCCCTGGCCAATGAGGAACTGGTCTTTGTTGGATACACACAGTCACTGATCCTATATAATACATTATAATACATTACAATACTGCAAATTAAGATTATCTCAAATAGAAGAAGTCAATGGCATTAGAGTTCTAGGACGAGCATTCCACCTCTTGAGGATCAGATTCATCTATATCATCTATCAGGATTCTCTTCCTATCAACTATCAAGGTTCACTTGTCAGAAAAGGTTGAAAGAAGCTCCTGCAAACGTGATGGCCAAATTATGTAAAGGCGTTCTTCCACTCCTTGAAAGCCACCCCGTTCTACTGTAACAGTTCTTTTGCTTTGCTCCCACTAGCATCCAGCAAGCAAGACATGGAAGCGGTGCCATCATTGCAGATTCTTCGTGAATTTGCAATGCTCACAATTCTAAATTGACACGTTCAACAAACTCAAGCAAGCCTTCCAGCAGGCCAAGCACTAAGAGTGAAGAAACCACCTTATCTGTCTGAGTCTGTAGGATAAATTGGAAAAATTTCATGGAAGTCGATGCCAGTGGACCCCAAGCATCCCAGAGTTCGTTAGTCACCACGCTCAGGATCTTGAATCAATTTGAATCATCTTAATGCGGTCACAATTCCCCGCAGGGCAGTGCATGCGAACAAGAAAGAATCAAAGTGCAGGGCCAAGATGCCAAGAAAAGCAGCATGCTCCACTCGAAGACCTTTTGCGAAACTTTGGGAGCCAAACAGTTGCCCAGCTGGAGACCCAATGCACCTGCAAAAAGTCCTCAGGCTAAACAGGCAATGTACATCCGTTGCAAATCCTTGTGACTTGGTAGCAGTGTTGAAGAGTCATTCCCAGTACAGGCAGCTTCGGAGGCCCTGTATTTTCATTGACAGTGCAGGCCATAGCCTAAAGTGTTGAACAAATATGTCGCGTGTCACAAGCTTTAAGTGAGACCATCTGCTGAGTGCCAAGTTGCCAATGCAATAAAGGTGAGCATCTTCAAGTCGAATGCGCTGCAAATACAGTAGCATTGGCAAGCGGAAGGTCCAAGCCTCTCAAATGGCCGCTATCACACCATATGTTGCTGATGGCTTGGAACAGAGAAGCTGTGAAGGATCGTGAACGCCAAACCGAGCAACTCCACTCATCAAAAACCCATCTATATAAGCAAGTGAACTTCAACAGTATAGCCGCCGGTCATCAATCTGTATAAAAAACAGGTTTAACACACGGACATACACAGACATCAGAGACTACGACTCTTATATACTGTCCTTTCCAAAGCAGAGGCAGCCTTGTTCTTTTGCAGATTTATCGTTGCTATCTGTTCAAATAGTTGATTTTGCATCCGTTGAACCGTGCGTGACAAGATGCGACAAGAAAATACTTTCCGCTGTGCCTCCATTGCTTGTCCCATCGGGAATAAATTCCGCGCCACTACCTGTGGCACAAGACACAGGATTTCACCTGGCTTCTCCGCTTTACCTTGGTGGCTAGTTTGGTTCATCCAGTTCTCCTGGCTTGAAAGATTGTAACATGTTGTAACATATTGTAACTATGTCATACAATGTCATACAATGTCATACATTTATTTCATACTATTTCGGTACCCTTTCCATCTTTTTCCAATATCCGTCTCTGTGAATAATGGCCTTGTCAAGTCCTGTGATGGCGGTCAGAAGAATGAAAGGTGGCCCATTAATACCACACCTCGAACCGCCAAGCTCAGCACCAGGAAGCTTCAAGCTATTCAGCACGTTTCACTACACCAGCAACAGGACTGTCATGCGAGTGTGTTACCCAGACATGAGCTTGAAATGAGGGCTAACAAATGACACAGCAGAAGCAGTTTCATCCAGCCCTGTTGCTCTTAGGTGCTAAGTAGCTGACAAACCCCCAAGGAAGCCACCCACCATTCCTGCAAGGGTTGCAGTTTCCAGTTCCACTTCGCACATCTTTGCACCATGATGTACTATGTACATCTGTCTACATCTATATACTTCATATATCTTCATACTATCCATCTTCACTAAATCGACATCAAGTGCGCAACGTATTCTTTGGAACCAGCAGTCCTACCGGCGGCAGCACTGCCCACAGCCAGCTCGGAGCTTCAGGAAGCTGACTGGGCGAACTGTTTGGACACATATTTCACACTCCGCCCAATTGCAAACATCAGGATCGGCCTCAAGATTAGTTCCCTTGGCCCACAAAGATATTGGCACCAAAATGAGGTCAGATCAAGTTGTTTGAACAATGTCATTAGCACTTCTTAGTAGTGCTTTAGTCTAATGATTCTAGTGATGAAATGTTGTAGTCTGGCCCGGCCTAGACTGCCGCTTCAAATTTGCCTCTGCTTCTGAAGGTTCGGGCTCGGTCGCCTCTGAAGCATCAGCATCTCCTCATTCAAAGGGCACCAACACAGCAAGCACTTTTCACATTTTCACATTCAGTAGACTCAGTAGACCAATCACATCCGGATCCTGATGCTTTGACTCCACGCACACTCAGACTTCATTATCTTCATCTTGGTTAATATCAAGACTACATACCTTGCACCAAAAAACTGAGAGGCTGTCCTAAGGATACTGGCTACAACACCATCAACACCTTCCATATCTTTGAATTTCTTCCTAAATGTTTTCTGACTGCAAATATCCGGACATAACAAAATCGTCTCCGGACGTCCTTCTGGGGGTCGACTGACCTGTGCGAGGAGGGGATCATTCGGCTTTGTTACTTGAAAATTTGCAGTCTTGTTTGTGGCCAGTGACGGCAATCAGTTCTGCTGTTTCGCCAATATGCTGTGAAGTCCGGCACTTGTTCCAAGGCAGTGGTTGGAAGGGGCCTCCTTCGTCTTGAATGCCGAGATCGCATCAACGATGGGTTTCAGCAGGGCAAAGCTCCTCAGCTGAGGGAAAGTCAACAGTCCAGCATGTTCTACAAAGCAGGTGCAGCGGCTACTTCAGGCTATGTGGGTGTTCCTACTTCAAGAAGGCTTATCCATCACATTTAGTGTGTGCGGCAGCCAAGCATCAGAAATGTCACTGAAAGAACCAGCTGCACAGACTCAGTAGGTGCTACCTGAAATCTGAAGATCCTAGTCCGAGTTCACAACAAAGAAAACCAGACTGAATAGACAAAGGTTGCAGCACACCACCACATGGTCAGCTAAAACATTGTTATAGATTAAAAAAAAGAAAACGACCAAAGCTTCCAAATCTGGCGACAGTGCAATCCAGCCTCCCGTATGTGGTTGCCAACAGGGGAGGGCACCAACATTGCAAAGCTAAATATCAGACCAGGCTTGATGTAGAACAACCTGACAATGCTGGAACAACAGAGAAGGAAGGGAAACACAAATGCACAAGAGAAACGCAAAGTGATGCAAAGTGGAGCAGTGTAAAAGGTTGGCTACGCACCAGCAGGCATGCCTCCGCCCACAGTGCAAAGGCATGAAACAATCAATGGACCCAATGCGCCGTCCATTCTGAGAAAGTACACAGTCGTCAAAGAGTCGGAAACACAGCATGCTGGAAAGCATTAAATGCAGCTCCGCTGACCATTGCTGCCAGTTTCCAAATGCCAGCAATGCAGTAGAGGTGCATTGCAACACCTGAAAGATCCGATGTTCTACAGGCATCAAATTAATATCAGAATGCTGTTCTTTGCAATCGATATTTGTTTAAAAAAAAAGTGACAAACTGACAAGTTGTGTGCTGCAAGAAAAGGTGTTGAGGCCAACCAGTGGGTCCACGGCACGCAAATAAGTCCAGCTAGGAGCCCGAGGTTGTTCATCTCCTGCCACTTTTAACTGCGTGTTTTGTTGTGAATGGCCCGCGGCATTCAGAGGCCTTCGCTGACACCAAATGAAAAGGATGTGTTTGATGTGTTTGAAACCTACATCACACTTGAATGCTTTTACATGTTTCTGCCATTTCACTTTCTCCTTTCACTTGCTGGTCTACATTCTTCCACTTTGGACTCATTATTGTTAAAGTCCCCCTTGGCATCATACATGAGGTTCTGAACTGGGAACTTGGAACCACAAGCAAGCAAACAAATAAACTCTAAGTCTGATTCGATTATCAGCTTCCTCTATTGTCAACCTGTTGTTTTTTGCTTCCTGCAGACACTATTGATCCAGCACAGAGGAAGGAGTCAAGGCTTTGCTAGGCCTTTCTTGACCCCAGATCGAAGCATCCAAACAAGCGAAGCAATAGGGCACCTCAAAGCCAGCGAGGTAAAAGAGCTGCCATCCCGCGCCATAGACGAGGGCCTCCCCCATACCACTGAGACCTGTTGCAGCCCCGCTGGACACTACTGGTAGCTGTAGATCAATCAAAGATGATTGCTGCAAGATCTGGGGAGACTGTAGCTCGGCCTTTCACCAAAGAGGAGAAGAAGGCAAGAATGGGCACGATCATCCTGGGACCAAAATTATTCACCACTCTCTAGCCTCGTTCGTAGATCAGAAGAGTTGCTTTATCTTCTCAGAAAGTCTGCGAAAGCTTTGAAATGCTTTGTATGGAAAGTATGATGGGTGACCCATCACCAATTTCCGGTGAAAATTCAGCTAAAAGTTCAGCTTGGTGTCACCTCGGGCCGCCCAAAGTCCATACTGACCACAGGCCACTCTGATGACTCCATGACTCAGCGCTTGAAGGTTGTGAAATCTGTGAGATTTCAGAAGGCCATCGAGCCATTGCTGAAAACATCCATGAGAAGAGACACAAGAAGAGACACAACGGATTTGAATTCAAAGAGCATTGCAGCATGCTGCGACATCTTGCGACATAAAGTTGCTAGGCCTTCGACAATGCGAGTTTCACGACAATGTTTCACAATGTTTCACACAAGTGTCACACAAGTGTCACACAAGTAACAGTGGCTGATCACCGAAAATCTCGTGCCTCCTTGACGAGACCCTGGGCCTCAGGAGCCGCATCAATGTCATGTTTGGCTGGCCGCTCTCAGATCAAACATGCTGTGTATTCATCCAAGCAGCACCAGCCGGAATGGTAAGAGTCAGGAATCCTCCGATGCACTCACCATGCCAGACTTATTGAAGTGGAAACAAGAAGCAGCTGATCGAAACAAGGAGCTATGAACTTCGTTGCTTTCCCACTTTCCTATCTGTCCTTTTTTTACATGCTTGACTGTATTGCAGTACCCTCCGTTGACAACCTTTACAGTTTGTAGTGAGCCAAACCTGAAAGCAAAAGTCAGGACACTACGTATATACGATGCACTGCTGGAAAATGTCACTTTCATTAGGTGTCTCACTGATCCAATTATGGTACCCAAAGACCCGGAGACCCAGAGATACATCATTATTATATATATATATGTCATTATATCATGATATATCCAGACCATGTAAGGCTTGTCAGGTACGAGTAGTGACAAGTGCGGTAGGCCCGTTATGCCCGTTGCTTCGAGTGCGCAGGTCCTCCGTCTGGGCCAGCAAAGCCAATGGTGCGGTCCACAGAGCTATCGGAATAGAAGGTAGCTTTCAGCACCCATTGCATACCTTGCAGTCAAGCACAATGAAGCACATGCTTACATAAAGCACCCCAGCTGCTACGAGAGGCTAGCAAGTGTGGCACCGTATTGCTTCTGAGCTCCAAACCAATCTTCCACTCCTTGGCCAAATTGGACCAACATTGGATCAACGTCGGATCAAGATTAAGCAGGCATGTTGTGTTGTGTTGTTCAAGCTTGCAAAGAGCTTTGTCTGAAGACGTCTGCAAGACGAGGCTCTGCATCTTTCTGCATGGCTTCTCGGAGCTTGGTGGTGTCCCAAATGGCATCCAATGGGTTCAAGCCATGGTCCTTCGCAATGTCATGGCGGGGTGAGTTCCGCTAAACATGCTAAACTCTCTCGTATCATTTGAAGCAGCCACTCCCGTTCCTTGCTAATGTTGTAGCTGGTCTCGAGACTTGACCTCGCGCTTGTGATTCTTGTTTGCTCTTGAATTTATGTTTTTACGTGAGTCTTTAGCTGTTAAAATGTTAAAAATACTGTGAATCCAGTGAGTGGCTTCAATGACGTATTTTCGTGCGCTGAGACCCCAAACGGGTAGCGATTTTCCAGACCACTGGGGCAGGGATTTGTGCGGCGTTGGCTGCGCAGCGACCTGGCAGAATTGCTTTCCCTTTGCTGAAACAAAGAAGTTACTCTGCGAGGTCTTGGATCACTCAATCCATTGGCTTAGGATAGGAGGAATATGGAGGAATATGCTACGAATGTGGGCATGGCCGCCATGGCCAAGAGAAGTAAATCGGATCGGTTCAGGTGGAGCTGCTCATAACATTGGCCCCTGGCCTCTTCTGAACCTGCAGCACATGCATCAGAATGGATTCACATGGAGAGAGAGAGGCTGTCGTGAAAAGAAATCTAATTTGTTGCTGTGAGGGTGTCCGGATAAGAAAAGACACAGTGTGACTTGTGTGACTTCAAGTATTATATGATTGTTATGTGATTATTATCAAGTGTATGAATTCTGGGGCTACATAACGGCTACATCTCCTCCAAAGGGGCTCTAAAATATCCGCCAGCCACTCATCACGCACGTTTCGGAGCCTGCGCAGCATCTGCCTTAGCACGGCACTTGCGAGATGAAGCGGATGGAAGCGGTGTATTTAGGCAATCTGGAAATCAAAGCAGGTTCTTGTTACTTCTGACATCTTCTGACATCTTCTGACATACCAAAACAGAATTTGCCAAAGTGCAGTCAGTGCTGAAAGAACTGCAACGGCTGCAAGCTTCATCATGGCCTTGGATGGGAAAACTGGGAGACTGGAGCTGTAAGCTTCCTGTAATTCACCCCCAAGATTGGATGGTGTCGTTCTAACCGCCCATGAATTAATCATGCATAGAGCAGCATAGCATCTCAGAAACGAAACAAGCAGCCATTGCTGGCAAACCTTTGACACCGGCAGCACAAACTTGAAAAACAACTCTCAAAACAAATGCAGATTTAAAAAGTGGACGAAGTGGACGAAGTGTAGTTTGAGATAACGATAAACTTATGTTCTTCAGTCCCGATTCGACTTCGGCTTGAGCATGTGAAACTCACAAATAGTGTACAAATATGTGGAAGAGATGGAATTTTGATGAAGGCACTAACAGAAGTCAGGAGCTGCAGTCAGATTTGCTCTCGATACGGGTTGAGTCCTTTGAGTTCTTCAATTCTTCTGCCAGCGTAAATTCATCCAAGGATCGGGAATTGCACTACCTTGGAAAGAGCATCGAAAGATTCTAAAAGAGTGAGAATGAAAGAGTGAGAAAGACTCGCTGAAATCAAAAAAAGTGACTAAAAGATGGGACTGGGGGTACATGTTGAAACTTCAACTCTGGGAAGTCCCATCGTGCTTTCCTTTGTGCATCTGCTGGGCCCTCATTCATGAAACCCTAGAAACATCAATAGAAGTGTTGGGGCTCGTTGGATAGATCTTTGGTGACTTTGCATAGTGGCACTAACCTTGTCCCGCAATGACAATGTTTGGACCTTGGACCTTGGATCATACAAAACATTCCATTGCGGCCCTCTCTACAATACTTGTGCCAAAGCGCGGCAATGGAATCCCAAAAAAGGGATGCGGTGGCCGCGGGCGTCTGAGAACGCTTCTCCGCGGCTGCAGACATGAGGTGTATTGATAAATATGTATGTGTATATATATATATATATGATTGTAGTATACATTATATATATATACATTAATTATATATATACAGTACACACAAGTATTTCTGATCTCTTGTGCTGCAGGAGGATAGGTGGTCTTAGTCAGGGCTTGGGTCAGTCAGCTGCGTGGAAAGCACTTGCTTTGGGTATCAAGTTCCCAGAAACAGTCAGCAAGGTTCAGCAAAGGTAGGATTCAGGAACCCATTCAGGCACTAGGAACATAGTGCTCAGACAGCAAGCAATCAGCAGGGGAGCAATACTGATTCAGCAGGAGCGTACAGCACACCTCCACATCTAGGACTGTCATTCCAAATTTCAAACACATATCTGCTGCATTCAGATGTATATGATGTATAAGCAGCGGGAAGGGAGAAAGCTGCTTGCTGTCAACAGAAATTTCTGGGGGTGCTGGACACTGAGATTTTGGAGAGGCAGAAACTAGCGGGACAGGGCATGACTTAGAGAATTTTAGGGCCAGCCTGGCCATTTGAAGGCTGCAGCCAAAAGCAGGATAGCTGTGGCATCGCAGTGACGCTTTTGCAGACTTCGCGGGTCAGTCGAACCAAAAGTGCTGAGAACATTGAAAATGTTCAATTTTCTTGCTGCATTGACTGAAAAATCCTATAAAATACAGACACAGGCGCTGTATGCCGTGAGGTCTTCTGCACGGCTGCAGCATCTCCGTGACTTTAAGTCTACAAGTCTACAAGACGCCAAGACGGCATTTCATCGTGGGCACTTTACCTAGCGAAGGCATTGCTACACTCAGAAAAACAGGCAGGAAAAATCAAGATCCGATGCTATCTGTCACCAACAAGTTCTGCCTCTAACCATCAAAACCATTCAAAACCTATTCACCATCGCTAAATTCTGTCCACGCAGAATTCCGGTGATCCTGCAGGAATTCTTCCCATAGAGGCTGGGCGCGGCATGTACTTTGCACCCCGCACTCGGCAGTCTTTCTGCGACCGTACAGATGCACCGCGGTCCAAGCCGTGGCCATGCCAACGAGTCGGCAAGCTACCCCAGTGTCCATCGCGCACCTGCACTTTGTTCAAAGCTTTGTTCACTACAAAAACGGCAAAAGCTCTTCCACTTCCTATTTATATTGCACACGTGTGTGTGTATATATATATATATAGAGAGAGAGAGAGATATGTATATAGAATACATGTATATACATGCTTCTTTCATCTTCCAGTTTCTATAGACTTGCCCTTTCCACGACAAAACTGGGACAAATTCGAAGCTGATGCCAAGGACGCCCAGCCTCTGCTGCCTGCCCTTGCAGGTTGAGAAGATTCTTTGAAAACAGCAACTCAAAGAAGTATAGAAGGAATGATACCGTACACATGCAAACGTCCACTTCTGAAAGAAACATTTTTGAACACCGCCCTCTGGCCTGGAAGGCAGCCAGCAGATTTTGCGCGGGCCTAGATTCTGCTGGATCGCTGCTCTATACCAACCTCCACTATACCAAAACTACCAAAGAAAGTGTTGCCATCTGTTGTCCCTGTGATGTCTACAAAAACAGAAAGAAAAAAGATGACTGTCTGCCACGGGCTCGTTTTTGCGACCAAATTTCCGAGTCAAACACCATTTCACGCACCGGGTCTGGTGAATGCTTTTGAGCTTGCAATGGCACCCGTTCTGCTTGCTTCTGCTCCCACCAGGCCTGCCCGGGGGCAAACCCATCTGTTTGAACATGTTTGAACAAAGTGAGGATGATGTGATGTGTTTGCAAACGAATCTGCCTGCAAAGCCTTGATGAGGGCTCTCCCGACCTGAAAAGTCTCAAAGCATTTTGTTGGCTGTTGACTTTCTGTGGACTCTATTGATTCCCCACAGCAAAAACGAAAAGTCTTGAAATGTCTGCGGAATTTTGAATGCTGACTCTCAGTTTGAATTCTTACCTTCTAGCGCTGCAGAAGCATAAGTGATTTCAAGTTGCACAATCTTCTTTTCGATCAAAGTAGGCTCGAGCACTTCGCGTTCCGGCAATGAGTTTACATCGCACATGCGACAAGTTTGTTTGAAGAATTTTGCCTTGCCCGTGCTATCTCCAGTGGCATTCTCCCGAGCCTGACGGAGCAACCCGGGACCCAACGGGTGTAGTCCAGCATTTACTGCAGGTATTTGTCCACATTGGACGTACAATTGCAGAACAACCTATACTTCTTCAATGTCAAGTTTAAAATAGTCCGCCCCTTATCGGTAAGTGCTCTAGTCACACGGTGCCAACTGCTGGAAAAACTAGCTGACTCCAACATGTCTTTTCGCAAAAGTTGCTTCTCCGTATCATTCCAGGTGGCTAGATCAAGTCCACCCGGTTTGCTGAGGTCGCTGCTTGTGTTCTCATTGAAGGACCCTTGCCTTCCGCAAGTGGCGCCTCAAGAACACGCGGCTCTGCAACCAACAGTTTATTCTCAGGGTTCTTGATTCTTTCAAGCCTGTCCTTGTAATGTAGGCCCCTGTATGCGCGTTTGCTGTGTGTGTGTGTGACTCTACAATTGATCATCTCTGTGGCACGCTCACCAAGCAACCAAAGAAAATATCCCTTGAGTGCGGGGAAACTTCCTTTGCATTTGTCATAAGAATTGATTGCATTCCAACGCATCCCACGCTAGCGATGTTCTGTGGAGGCTTCGATGTGTGTTTGGGATGTGCAGTGGCGCAGTTTTTAGAAGCTGCAAAGCCGACTGTGCTAGGTGGATGCAAGCAGAAAAAAAAAAAGGAGCAGCTGGATTCATTCAAAGAGACTTCAGTGTCCCACTGTGTCCCACTGTGTCCCACTGTGTCCAACAGTTTTCAACAGCTTTCAGGGCTGGAACCACTGGAACCACTTTGCAAATCGAGGGTCAGGCTCTTGCTTTCAACGGTTCATTGGTGGCCGACTGTGCCTGACACTTGCAGTGGAGTAATGAGTCCATCTTCTCACGCAATGGAAACAAAGAATGAACAGAGTATTATTGAAATACTTTGAATTTTGAACTCCTGTATTTTTTGGCGTTCCCATCAACATTCTCAGACTGTCTAACATCGATAACTCAAAGAAATCGAACCAACTAACCAGCACTTACAGGGTATATAGTGCATGGACACCAGTTGCGTTTGACCTAAAGTTTGCACCACTATAGTCGCCTGCTTTTGAGCGGCAGCTGTTTCTGCAGCTGCCTGCAGGCCATCCAAACGTTCGAAGCCCTTCAGACAAAAGCGCTGTGTTTGTTATGTGTGTGTGTGTGCCTGCTATTTGGGAGAACTTGCAGCGGATGGAGTTTGGACCAATTCAGGTGTTTTCCATTGACTCAGAAGAACATTACTCAGAGATACTCAGAGTGTTTCCAAAAATGGTTCCCAATATGTGGTATAGACTATCCCAACAGTAGTCGAGCCTTTGATTCCGGACTTGGCGTCAATATTGCATTAAAAAGCATTTAAAAGACACTTATATACCCACCCGCTCGATGCAGATGCAGGTTCGTGAGCTCCAGGTCAACTGCTTCAGGGCTCGTAGTATGACAACACAGCAGCTCTGGCCTGCTCTGGTTGCAGCTTCAAGCTTGTTGCCTCGCTGTGCCCGTTTCAGAACTGCTGTTGAATGGGGGTAATAGTTGATTCAGTGACGGAGTTGGTTCAAAAGTCACAGATCATGACAAGCTGCTCTTTACAGCATTGACTATACAGTTCACTGGACCCAAGCAGGCTTGCTCTTGACCTGGCTTCGTTTGTCAAAGACTTTCATATGGCATCCACTACCCCCTGACCACTCACAAGCCTGGCCTGGCTGCGTGAACTAGAAGCTGTTGATGGTCGTGAATCACAGGAATCCACCTAGAAGAAAATGTGCGAAGAAGTTCTCTATGCTGAAGGCCAAGGTATCATTGAGCAAAGCATCTTTCAACACATCAAGACTGGACACAAGATGAGCACCAACAGCTTTCCACCAACCCCACTTGAGACACCATGTGCAGCTGCTCGACCTCGCTGGGAGTACGCGTTGAAGCCACTGATGGCGGTGAATGCGCTGCCTTGAACTTTCCCGAATCGCTGCCCAACTTTGTAGGCGTTTTCGCGGCCTAATTGGCAGACGGGACTTTAGACACTGCAGTCCACACTCAGGCAAAATGAAAACTTCTGACTGTGGCTTGTGAATGCCCCGTAAGCCAGCCACACTGCGACTTTGTGAAGGAGTTGGGGCTGGTCCCGAATGCACCTGATCAAAACAATTGCATTGATCTCAGCACACTCTGTTTGCAGGCTCAATGGCCTGTGAAATTCCTACCTGCATGTAACAGAGAGAGAGAGAGAGAGTCTTCAACCGCAATCAACTGAAAAAAACAACAAAACTCAGAGGATGTCGCTACTCATGAAATGTCAGCTTGGCGTTTGGGGGGCCTGACTATTCAATTTCAAGCTTGTGGGATCTCTTTGTCAGCTGAATATCTTTCGAGCCTTCGGAGAAACTTTGTCTCGCTGGGCCTGACTGTCTCGACGGGTCGCTTTCTTCAGCGCTCAGCCCTCTTGACTGCAACAACTCCAAAGGGCTGTGCTGTTTTGGGCTTGAGGTTGCGGCGAAACCCACTGTCTCACCTTGTGTTCGTGGCACTTTCTTGCTGGTTTTCAAAAATTGCAAAAAGGTCTAGGAAGAAGGCTTGCACGTACGGCACTAGGGATTAAATTCTGTTAGACTTGGATTGTTATACTGAATATCTGTTTGCCCTCTGAACGCTCAACCATGTTTTGATTGAAGATGGCTAATTTCAGCTTGCAAAAATTCTTCATGGTCAAATCGATCCAAGCACCAAACCGACCACGTTCAGCTGCAAGCCTTGCCCATTCTTGGGCGGTTGGTCTGGCCTGGGTGTTGAGTGTAGCTCCGAGGAATACCTCTTGGCAGTTTTTGACATACACATCCTGCAAACCTCATTCAGAAAGAAAATGCCGTGATAACAAATTTTGAGCCTTGTTAAAGAATTTATATATACAGTTTCCTCGGCAACTTGAAAACTAAGCTGAAATCTGGACCATGGCATGGCCTTGGCCTTCCATAGCCTTTCATTCAAAACCAATCAGGTCCCCTGCTGGACTGGGCGCCTGGAGGCCTCACAAACGACAAGTGGCTGGAGGAGAAGCTTCCAACTAGATGGTAATTATCATAATTATGATGTATAATATATATATATGACATGTACATGTACACACATATAAAGACATATTATATAATATACGATGATAGTATATTATCCTGATACAACTGAAAGGCCATAGCCAGTGCAGTGCAAATGTCATGTTCACATCCATCTCCTCATGAAGAAATGCTGCTTGTAGCCATGTGGTTGGTCATAAAACTAAAACATCGCTGCTGGGCAAATCCGCTCCAAGAATTGCCTGGTATTTTGTCTGCCGCGCCCTAAGCTCTGCTGCACGGCGCTTCACCTACCAACAAGCCACTAGCAGCACTAGCAGCAGCATTCGCAGATCAATTCCAATCATTGAAGCTGCAGTGACTTTTGTGCATATATTGGGCACAAGAGTCTGAAAAATGTTTGTTGCACCCTCCCCAGGGAGCTTTGAAAGTGCTGTAGCGTAGTGCTTTCAGTCTTCTCAACTCATGGTTGGCCTGCTCTTTCTTCATAGCCTCGTACAGGGTGACTACAATCTTCAAGTCTTGATGCAAAGCAGATCAATATTTGATCTAGAAATGAAACATACAGTGCAGAACTGGAGTATCATTCAGACTGAAATAATGTGGTCAACCAAGCCTCCTGCCAGCAAATCGACAACGACGCGAGGAAGTCAAAGCAACAAACAAAAAAATAGACCATACAAGTGCGCCTGCTGTAGTCTACGCCTTTCCTGCACATTTGATAGCTTTTGTCCAGTCGAGTCAAGAATCGCTGGTATCTTTTTTTGGTGCTGAGCTTTCTATGCCTTCTGCCCTCACAATGCAAAGCGCTCCTCCATTTCTTCAGATCGTCCTTGCGCTTCAGCCATCTCTTGGGTGGTCCTCAGAAAGGAACCAAACTTGCGAAAGGGGCGATCTGGCGATCTGCTCGCTGTACCCAGTATACTCCGAAAAGATGAAAAGATGCCACAGGATGATCCTCTGATGGTCCATGCACATGATCCGGTCATTCTAAATCGATCTAAATCGTAGAACCGTAGAACCTTCAAGAAAGACAGACTCGGCACATGGGTCTTGCGGCTCTGATCTTGTGGAAACTGCTGTCCAAAGAGCCATCCATGAAGACGTTGACGATACTCAGTCTTTGGTACCGTCACCTCATACCGAAAATAAGAACCTCTAGCCCAGTGCAGATGCTGGGGACAATATATTTGGATGTGCCAGATAATATGCAGATAATAATAATCTGTGTTATCGTACGTATTGTGTGTATGCATATGTGGGTACATCATGCTACATCCCATGTACAACTCGGCTACACACCCCACTTATTTCCACTTGTCAACTGAGATGGCGAAGCCGCTTGCCTACATATGTTTGGTTCGTGGGATTGTTGGATGGTTTCTTTCCTTGAAGCTCTGTGCAAGTTTGGCAAACATGACAACAAACACTGAGTGCAATAGCATGAAGTCGATTCTGCATTTGAACACTTGCAGAAGTGCATTCGTGTTTGAAAGCTTGGTTCCAACATCAAGCACATTGTTTAATGCAAAAAGGAAACAGGAAATGCAAAGCAGCGCTGAAATCAGTTTCTTAGCTCATTTGCTTTTCTTGGGTGCCACGCCTCCTGAAGGAGCCTGGCGTGCGGAATTGGAAGCATAGGATCTCTCGGGAGATTTGAGAGATTCAAAGGGACACACTGGGAACACACGGTTGAATGCCATAATAACTGTGTATATCATTGTATATCATCTACACGGTCATCTGTCTACAATAATATGTAGTTAGACACATTCAGACAGAGATAAAGCTATGTAATGTAAAGTATATCTAATATTGTCAAGGTGTACGTGTACGTGCCCAAAAGAGCCTGCAGTTTCGGTCTGATTTCGGTCTGATGCCGATTGCAAGGGGTACCATATTCAGAACGGGGGCCCTACAGCACTTCAAAGTACATATGGGAATCTGTACTCAAATTAAACTATAATGAACTATATGTGTTTGGCCTCTGTTTAACTTCCAGTTTAAAGAGCAGGGGGATTCATTGACTATGAGATATGGCTAGAGTCATTCTTTCAAGTCTTGAATCCTGGACTTAGAATCTGAGTATCTGCAGCCCATGGGCTTCAACTCTTTGGAGTCAAAATGGATTCCCGAAGCTTCACGGTCTCAAAACCTCAAACTTCTTGTGGCAAGCTTCAATCTTAAATCTTGCACCAAATGCTTTGGCACTTAGAAATTGCCCAAAAGACTATGCCGACTATGCAATGGATTCCAGATGATTCCAGGCTTCCCAACAACTGTTGCTGGCAATCTTGAACCCTTATGAATTGAGTGAAGCCTTGAGGCCTTTGTCTGTTCGTTTGGGCCCAACTAGCGGAAATGATGAAATCAAGAAAAAAGTTGGATTTTTGAGTTTCGGAGAAATCAAAAAAAAGAAGGTTGGATTTCTACATTTTCATGATCTTTATTTTGACCGCAGTGGATCCTAGTGTCCTCGTGATCCAAAGCTGGTGAACTGACCTGAAAAAAAACCAAACTTCCCAAAGCATGTTCCATACATATGTTGCAAAGTGACTAACGAGCATGTTGCAAATGTCCAAAGTGGCCCTGACAACCCTTCTTTTTCATGCTAAACACAAAAACGAAAGAAAAAGTTGAGTTGTGTCCTTTTTTGAAAAAACCTTATATAAAACCTTAAAGTCGCAAAAAAAAAATGTTGTTTTTTTCCAGATTGCCAGATTGCCACACTCCAAAAAGTTATATAAGTGTTTCTTGGTTTTCTTGAAAACTACGTTTTTTCGAGGTTCCCAACAGAAACCCCCCCTCACTTAAATTATGAAATCTTATGAATGTCGAATTGTTTTCTTGCCCCAAAACAGTGAGTATATATAGGATTCGAGATTTTGCCTAACTTTTCTGGCACCCTTGAAAATTAAATCCTCTTAGAAGTTTGTATGCTTAACAATCTTATGTTGAAAGTGAGATCTTGCCCTATTGTTTCTCACAAGCTGTGCTTTCCGGTCCTTGAAAGCAGATGATCCCTTGGATTTTTTCTCAGTTCAGAAAGTAGGCGATGGTACTTGGTCAATGGGTGGAAATGTGTTCTTTCTTTCAAGTTGAGATGAAACAGCAGAGTACGTACTGGAACTGCTCTTTGGCGAAAACATCTTCTACTGCACATAACTCAAGAGACCAGACTTGGTACTTTCTGCAAATGCATAAACAGGCTGAAGACTGAGCCACCACCTTGAGTGTTGTGCAACGAATGGCTAGTTTCTTTTTCTCGTTCAGAAAATAACTTAGATACAGTAGCAGACGGGGAGATAGAATATGAAAAACTTCTAGGTCACACATAGAATATGGAAAAAAAGCTAAGGAGCTAAGACCCCAAACAGCAGATAGAATATGCAAACAACATATGCAGATAGAATATGAACATATGATATATGTGCAATGTTGCATGTGTATGCAGCTCCACACAACCGCACAAAATACCAGCAAACAACTTGCGCAATGCAATTTTCACCATGCTTGTTCTTGCATGGGTTTTGTCCTGTTTTCCATGCTGAAAGAGACACATACAGCAGATTATGTTGGCCAAAGTTTTCCCGAGGTTGGTTGGTACGGTAAAACTTGTTTGTTTTCTTTGTGAACTCTGGTGGTGAAAAGTGCAGTTAGAATATGGATAGGTTTGGATGGTGTTATTCCCTCACTCACTTCACAACCAACACCAGCAGCACCACACAACCGCACAAAATACCAGCAAACAACTTGCGCAATGCAATTTTCACCATGCTTGTTCTTGCATAGACAGAGACACATACAGTAGATTGTGTTGGCCAAAGTTTTCAATAAGGTTGGTTGGTACGGTAAAATTTGTTTGTTTTCTTTGTGAATTCTGGTGGTGAAAAGTGCAGTTAGAATTTAGAATATGGATAGGTTTGGATGATTTTTTTCCCTCACTCACTTCGCAACCAACACCAGCAGCACCACACAACCGCACAAAATACCAGCAAACAACTTGCGCAATGCAATTTTCACCATGCTTGTTCTTGCATAGTTTCTCTCCTGTTTTCCATTATGCTGAAAGAAACACATGCAGTGGATTATGTTGGCCAAAGTTTTCCTGAGGTTGGTTGGTACGGTAAAATTTGTTTGTTTTCTTTGTGAATTCTGGTGGTGAAAAGTGCAGTTAGAATATGGATAGGTTTGGATATTTTTTTTTCATCGCTCACTTCGCAACCAACAAGCAGTACCACACAACCGCACAAAATACCAGCAAACAACTTGCGCAATGCAATTTTCACCATGCTTGTTCTTGCATGGGTTCTGTCCTGTTTTCCAACATGCTGAAAGAGACACATACAGCAGATTATGTTGGCCAAAGTATTCCCGAGGTCGGTTGGTACGGTAAAACTTGTTTGTTTTCTTTGTGAGCTCTGGTGGTGAAAAGTGCAGTTAGAATATGAATAAGTTTGGATGGTTTTTTTCCCTCACTCACTTCGCAACCAACACCAGCAGCACCACACAACCGCACAAAATACCAGCAAACAACTTGCGCAATGCAATTTTCACCATGCTTGTTCTTGCATAGTTTCTCTGCTGTTTTCCATGCTGAAAGAGACACATACAGTAGATTGTGTTGGCCAAAGTTTTCAATAAGGTTGGTTGGTATGGTAAAATTTGTTTGTTTTCTTTGTGAATTCTGGTGGTGAAAAGTGCAGTTAGAATATGGATAGATTTGGATGGTTTTTTCCCCTCACTCACTTCACAACCAACACCAGCAGCACCACACAACCGCACAAAATACCAGCAAACAACTTGCGCAATGCAATTTTCACCATGCTTGTTCTTGCATGGGTTCTGTTCTGTTTTCCATTATTCTGAAAGAAACACATGCAGTGGATTATGTTGGCCACAGTTTTCCCGAGGTTGGTTGGTACGGTAAAATTTGTTTGTTTTCTTTGTGAATTCTGGTGGTGAAAAGTGCAGTTAGAATATGGATAGGTTTGGATGTTTTTTTTTCATCGCTCACTTCGCAACCAACAAGCAGTACCACACAACCGCACAAAATACCAGCAAACAACTTGCGCAATGCAAGTTTCACCATGTTTGTTCTTGCATGGGTTCTGTCCTGTTTTCCAACATGCTGAAAGAGACACATACAGCAGATTATGTTGGCCAAAGTTTTCCTGAGGTCGGTTGGTACGGTAAAACTTGTTTGTTTTCTTTGTGAACTCTGGTGGTGAAAAGTGCAGTTGGAATATGGATAGGTTTGGATGGTTTTTTTCCCTCACTCACTTCGCAACCAACACCAGCAGCACCACACAACCGCACAAAATACCAGCAAACAACTTGCGCAATGCAACTTTCACCATGCTTGTTCTTGCATAGTTTCTCTCCTGTTTTCCATGCTGAAAGAGACACATACAGTAGATTGTGTTGGCCAAAGTTTTCAATAAGGTTGGTTGGTATGGTAAAAATTTGTTTGTTTTCTTTGTGAATTCTGGTGGTGAAAAGTGCAGTTAGAATATGGATAGATTTGGATGGTTTTTTTCCCTCACTCACTTCGCAACCAACACCAGCAGCACCACACAACCGCACAAAATACCAGCAAACAACTTGCGCAATGCAATTTTCACCATGCTTGTTCTTGCATGGGTTCTGTTCTGTTTTCCATTATGCTGAAAGAAACACATGCAGTGGATTATGTTGGCCAAAGTTTTCCCGAGGTTGGTTTGTACGGTAAAATTTGTTTGTTTTCTTTGTGAATTCTGTTGGTGAAAAGTGCAGTTAGAATATGGATAGGTTTGGATGTTTTTTTTTTCATCGCTCACTTCGTAACCAACAAGCAGTACCACACAACCGCACAAAATACCAGCAAACAACTTGCGCAACGCAATTTTCACCATGTTTGTTCTTGCATGATTTCTGTCCTGTTTTCCAACATGCTGAAAGATACACATACAGCAGATTATGTTGGCCAAAGTTTTCCCGAGGTCGGTTGGTACGGTAAAACTTGTTTGTTTTCTTTGTGAATTCTGGTGGTGAAAAGTGCAGTTAGAATATGGATAGGTTTGGATGGTTTTTTCCCTTCACTCACTTCGCAACCAACACCAGCAGCACCACACAACCGCACAAAATAAAATACCAGCAAACAACTTGCGCAATGCAATTTTCACCATGCTTGAAGTCAAGGACTTCAAAAGCACCCCAATCAATAAAATGTGACTACTGTGTTGTATCTTTTGCAGTACCGTATTCTTACAACTCCTGTGTGGTTTTTCTGCAGTTAGAATACGCCGACACAATATAGAGACACAATAACAAAGTTAATTTTCATTTGTGAGATTATATGTCTTGAAGTATGGTACAGTACAGTATCTGGAAGTAAATGTTGTCTCCAGCAATTGAATCAACCAAATGTGATTATATCACATTCTTGCAACACCTGTGGTCATTTCCTGCAGTTAGAATACAGGTAAACGCATCATTTGGTCTTGCTTCATTGAAGTCCGGAGCATGATCTTTGCGGCGCGACGAACATGATATCGGTTCTTCTGACATCAGTGGCCATATTCTAAGTGCATGGGCCCATATTCTAAGACCAAGGTTTTCGGCTTAGCTCCGAAAACCCTATACCCCGAAGAGCGGCTTAGCTCAGCTAAGCAAATCTTAAGGTTTTATATTCTAACTGTTGGTCCGTCATAGTACGCAAGTATGGTACTGTACATCTTGTATCATGATGCATCTGCATCACTTTTGTGGCCTGTCGACTGTTGCAGTAGTTACAGTATTGCTTCTTATTATTCATGGTCCAACAGGCAACACTTCTTTTTTTCTGTCAGCCATCTGCATGCTCATATCAACATCTTTGGGCTTTGACCACTAGTCATTTGGTATCTGGAAGGCTTGCTGTCACAGCTTCCCCTGATAGCGTCGATTTGACTCTAAGATGAAACCGTCAAAGCCCCTCATCATGAAACTGCGTGCATGCAATCTGGTGGAACCGGAAGAAAGGTACATCCGTTGCGCTCGCATTTTGGACCTTGGGGTCCCAGCTAGAAGACTCCGATCTAAATTTCTGTGCATACTTGTTTCTGTGCGATTCCGATATGTGCTAATTAGTAACACAACAGTTCGCTGATGTTCGCTGGACCCCAGCTGCTCTAATCCTGCTCTAGTCTTGCACCGTCGACGCCAAATTTAAGCTTCGCCAGATTGTGTAAATCACTTTGACTTCTCCTTGTCAACTACCTGCTTGCGCGAGGTATACGGCCGCCGGTCCAGGCCCTTTGTTTTGCGCACCTGACAAGAAGTCCACCACAATCCCAGAGGATCGAACGAGACAGCAACCCAAGAAAAGCTAAGAGAGAACAATGCAGCCAAACAATAAACTTCTTTGTTTCCCAAAGCCCTGAGGTGTGGCAGATGTTGCACTACAACTACAAATAGCTTACATACATCGAGCTTGAAGACCAGTGCAAAGATGTGAAGATGTGTGAAGTCTGTGAAGACTCCAAATGCACCGGGCCTGGCGCCGCAACATGCAAAAGACCGCCTTGGCATAGCGTTTGCGCAACGACGGACTTGCACCTTCGGGGTCCTTTCGATGATGGTTGATTTGAAGCAGCTTCACCTGCACGGCTTCCAAATCTGTGACTCTAACTGCCTTCCGCATCAAGCTTGCGCTTGTCCAAGCTGTCGCACACAGCACACAAAACGATTCCAACAACTTTAGTACCAATACTCTGTTCACAAGTATTCACAAGTAGCACTCTTGTGTCTTGCTATTCGATCTCGGAACTTGACCCTTAGAAACAAAGGCAGTCAATTTAAACATACGTATATATATATATATAAACTTCAATATCATTAATTATCATCCAACTTAAAGCCACACCTTGCCAACTGCAACGTCCATGTCTTTGCAATCCTCTGCTGTGGCCATGAGTTTGGCCAGAGAGTTGCGATCCTCCACGCCCTCTGGATTCACCACCATCATGGTGCTGCCATCGGGAAGTTTCTCTGTCACAATGACGTTCTGCTCTTCCGTCTCCAAAACCACATAGTGATGACAATAATCTAAACGTTTGCTTGACCATTTCTGATCCAAACGTCGAGATGTCTCGACATCAATGGCCTCCACATAGATGGAACCCCGCACAATCTTCTCGTCATCACGGATTGGTTTGCCAGGCCTGGACTTACCAGAAGCCAAGTCCCAAGTGGGTGCCCGAGAGGAAAACACAACTCCAATCTGTTCGTTTCCCTCAGGCTCTTGGATGGTGCGAACTTCCAGACTTCCCAAGCGATAGATGCGGAAGACAGTCCCATCTTCTGTGCTCTTTTGGAATTCTGGTGCTGCAGATGGCAACACATCGCTGAATAGAGTTTGCTCAAAGTTCGCATCAACCTGCAACTGCACCATGGATGATTTCAATTTCATCAGTACAGCAGGTGAGAATCCATTCTCAAGCTTGAAACCAGAAGTCCACGAGCGAGGGAATTCTGGCCCAGCATGAGAAGGCAAGAAGGAGCGGTCGCAAAACGCCAACTTCCTCTTTTTCAGGAGTGATTTCTCCTGCAGCCCAGATTGTCTCAGCTTTGTAGTGAACCGAAAACAAGACTGAGCAAGTCCAATGGAAGGTGTGGAGTGTAATGACATGGAAGCTTTTATCACTTTCGATCAACAAATTACGCTTTTATCACTATCGAGCAACGAATTACAACTCGCAAAATCAGCTCTGAATTGCTTGAAAAAAGAGAAACATCGGCCAAACCTCGTTAGATTTCTCCCAATCTCCTCGTTCACAAGATTCCGCAGCTTGACAATGTATGACGTGTTGGGATTTGGCGGGATGAAGCGATCGCCTTCCTGTGTACGGTCCGCCAGGGCTGCGTTGAAGATGCCTTCCAGCAACTCCTTGAAACGCTTTCATTTTGTGTGATCAGAGTGTGGTGCAGTGCTGGTGTCTTCGCAAAACTGAAGCTGTTTGGCAAAGGCAAATTGCAACGCAAATGCCAAACAAGTTGTGAGAAAGGGTCCTTGTCTTCATCCTTGATCGTCTGATACCCTTCTCTCAGGCCTTTCAGGAATGCCTGTCCACATAGCAAAGGGTGCTTCTGGAAACTTTAGTTGTTATTGAAAGCATCAGAACATAAGGCAAAGATTCGCAATATTGCGCAATGAATGGACAATGGACAGTTTGCTAATCTTTTGACCAAATTGAAACGCTCTTCCTTTCTCATTCTGCCACTTAAGTTTTGCTTTAGAGATTTTCCAGATTGTTGGTTCTGCCGAGACACCTTGCCAAGTTGCACACGAGCCTCCAAGGACTCTGCCCCGCCGCTGCAGGCAGCCCAGCTGCCCATGTGATCCACATCCGACAAGTTGAACTTATCCAGATCCAAGTCAACACCTGGGACTCTGGGACACTTCGAGGACAACTTAAGATTTCTTTGTTGACGGCTGCAACTGGCTGAAGATATTCAAGTGGTCTGGCGCTCAACAATACATGAATGATATCCTGCAACAGGCGATTCAAAACTCCGAACGTTCGACGTTCCTCAGACAGCACAGCACGCATTCTGTTGAACAGATTGATTTATGAACACTCTGATCAAGGTTTGATTGACCCATAGTCAAATCTGAAGGGACTTAGTGACTCATTCAAAACTAGATAGCTTTTTGGGCTTTCTGGTCAAAATTTCAACATGCATCCTGGTGCAGTTTCTCTAATGCCGCCGGTTACCTTGTTTCAGGCCTCTAGGCCGGCCTTTTCAAGCTACATTGCGGAGCAAATCTGAGACCTTCCCCTCCCTCTGAGGCACCCTGAGGCATCTCCCCACGCTGTGTAAGCTGGAATCGCTGTGGCATGAACATCGGCCGACCGGAGGGTCCAAGCTGCATACCTGCCAGCACAGCAGCATAGCATGGGTTCTGGTGGTCTCATGCGATTGAAAGGTCTGATGTCGTCTGACATGCTCACATGATGCCCTAGTAATCCCTGGTGTTACATGCATGGTGAATCATGGTGATATAATGTTATATATATATTAATATATATCATAGAGGAAGAGATAGAATGAAGCGCCTTGAAGCCCGGCTTGTTGCATGGCCATTCCAGGAACACCTGGGACGCCCGGTCGCAAGGCCTGGGATGACGATGATTTGACGAGGCTTGACTCAATTAAGAACAAACAAATGAGTGTGGTATACGATGATGCTCAGCTTCATCGGAAACAACTACTTTCTTCTCTCTCTTATCTCTCTTCTTCATTGCCTACTGAATCAATCCGGCCGGCTTCAAAATCAAAATCTGCGCAGTCCAGACGAGATACAAACAGACAAATACCCTCAATCGCTATCTTTAGACAGAAAACAGGAAGTGGGGACAGGAATCATCAGACTCTTTTTGCACTATGGATGCAGGATCGTAATACTGAAATTGAACTACAATGAAATTCCCTTCGCTCCGGATTATGGAGTCTTTGACAATCCAAATGCAAGATATTGCAAGATTATATACATTTGACTGGTTCTGGCCAGGGTGCATGGCGCTGTGCTAGCTCGAACCGATCCAAGCCAAATTCAACGCCGCCATAGATCGCATGCAGGTTGCTGACACTGCCTGTATCAGAGACAGCCCAAGTGCCGGTCGGTACAAAACGATGCGAAACTATACAGGACATGCTGCAAACTGCTGGAAGCTGCTGCTCAAAAACCATATCATTAAGATTCATGGAAAAACTTGGGGTGAAAAATGGGGTGAAAACGTCAAGGCCTGTCTCATTGTCAATAATCTTGCCATTCTCGAGTCGGATTCGAGAAAGGCCACGCATGTTCCAGAGTTGTGGAATCTCCGAGTGTTCCTCCGGGGTGGTGTTTGTCACGATCTCCTGGGCTCGCATATCCAACACCAAACAGGAGATGGCTCTTGGGTCAATCCGAGCTGCGTTGGTTCTGATCTAAGAACAGAAAGCCTGGAAAAAAACATGAAAAAACTTGGAATTGCAGCAGCAAACACAGGAGTCCACGCTGACCCTTCTACATTCCTGTCCTCTGCAACAGTTTGCCACAGCTCATCCAAGCATGCGCCGGAGTCCACCAGGAATTTTGCCATCACGGAGGCCTAGCTTGGCGCCATCAAAATCACTGTTCGAGACGCTGCATGATGCTATCAAGGTTGTCCCTGCGTAATCACCACCCCTGTCACTGGTACTCCATATCCGCATTGTTTTCCATTTGTTCTTGTCATCATGATCTGCAGATCAAACATCTTGTTGTTTCACTCAGTTCGTTTTGCATTACCTGATAACTCACCAGGCCAGGCCTTTGCAAGCTCACGCAAGTGGAAGATTACACTCTTCCGCTCAGCAATGAGGTCAAAGTTTCGAGTGAAGGCCTCAAAGACAAGCCTGAAACTGATCTTATGGGTAATACAGTCAAGAGCAGATTTAGTTCTTAGTCTTCACTTCAACCAGTTGTATTGTTTTCCGATCAAGAGAGCAACGCTATGTCTGCCGAATGACATCCGCAAAACGCCGAAGAGGATGGCTGGCACTTGTGATTGCAGTATCCTGAAAGAGCTGGAGGGCTGATTTGATTCACAGACAAATATAGTCAGTAAATTTATCCCGTTCAGCATACTCTTTGGCATTTGCTGATTTGGGACATGAAAGCATAATTCTCAATCTACGTAAAGTCAGTTTCATCTAGAGCAGCCTTTCGGATTGAAAGGTGGGATATGGATCCTCTCTTGCGAAAAGAATTGGATAGGTTGGCCAAGAACTCACTGTGTAGCTCAGCCCCAAAATAATTCCAGTGCTGTAGAGTGCGGTTCATGAAATGCGAGCCAGTCAAGCCAGTCTGTGGCACATTCTGTTTATTGGCAGTTTGCAAACCTATGGGTATGCGACCATCGAATATCTACACAGCATTTTTATGTCCAGAACTGTGATACACTGTGAGCCACCTGGAGGCCGTTGGCCGTCAGGATCTGCTCTCTGGCCTGGCTCTGCCGTGGTTTCATTGCTCTCAGCCAGATTGTTCAGATTCACTAGCGAGCACTGTACTATCCTAGATCAACATCGACGTACAATCCAATGGCAAGCCATTTGCGGTAGACTATCACATGCCTCGACCCCCATCTTCACGAGGGGAATCAGAGTCTTGTCCTCCGCCATCTGGACCTCGCCATCCAAATGTCGTGAAACAAATGAGCTTGCCAAGGTTGCCAGGGGTAATTGTCAAAAGGAGCTGCCACCACTCCCTGGAAGGCCAAACACTAAGATCACTAAGATCAACAGTCATCAACAGTCTACGCTTTTGCTGAGTTACTTTGCAAGGATTACGCTTTTGCTGCATCCGGCCTGAGCCTTTTTCACTACAAACCATTCACGGCCAGCCCATGGTTGGTGATGCAGCTCTAAGGCCTGAAAGCCATTTTGCAACGCAGCACAAATCAACGCAGATCTATCACGTCGGCAAAATGTGCCAGTCAGTGTCAATCAAACCCTCAAATGAATGCCGCAGATCAAAAGCAACTCTGTCTTGGACAACTGAATCCAGCGGAGAGCCCAAAAGACTTGAAAGGCAACCCTGGCCTCTGACCAGTCAAAGACACTGAGCATACCAACCACTGGCATGGTATACTCGCCTAAGGCCAACTCCTTCAAGAAGTAGTCAGCCTGGACCAGGCGCTAGTAGCTGGTAGCTACCAGCTAGCAGCATCAGGAGTCGGGCTGCATTTCAATCTGTCAATGGGCGTCGTCTCAAGATATCTCAAGGCTCGCCTGGAACATGACGTCCCCGACACTGGTGCCGGCCAGCCACTGAGGCTCATAGCCTGAAAGGATGTTGGAAGAATGACATGGCCCAGAAAGCGATTGGAGTCAGCAGCTCCGCTGGTGTCAATATCATACTACCCATCGTGGCGCTACGCAGCTTCATCCAAGATTCTGCATGGATTGACACTGTACAGTTTGAACAAAACCATTTTTGGATATAAATTTGGGCTGTTCTATGCTGTTCTCTCGTTTCCTCAATCCGGCTGGCGTATTGCAACTTCGGTACGCTTCTTCTGCGTAGTCGTTTCCATGTTCTGCGGATCCACCGGGTCCAAAGAGAAGAGCGGCTCCCGTCTCTCCTGGCGACGTACCTGGCAATCACTTGTCAGTGTTCTTCAACGCAACACGCAAATCCTAGAAAATCTTAACAATTCAGAATGATTCTATCACTGTCAGTGTAGGTTTCTGAAAAATCCAGCTGTTTTGTTACAGCGATCCTGGTCATCCAGCACAAGTAGTTCCAATGCTGATAATCCTACCCAGCTATACCCAGCTTACATCTGAGTTTATCAAATATCAATCTGTCAAGGCCCAGAAAAGACATGGATCGCCTTCAAAGCCAGTGCCAAGTACTCGAGGTTTACCGCTGCTGATGGCTCCAATGTGGCAGCAACTTTGACGTTCCGGGTGGCCTGAACAGCGCTCAAGCATGAAAGATTGAAGCAGTGCTTACTACTTGCACTAGTCACTTTGGTATTCCACGAACTTGGTACCTCATCCCAGACGAGGCAGGTGAGGCCATTCGCTTTCAGTCCAAACCGCTCCGCCAATGAGGAATTGCTGGGAACTGTGGATGGGCACCATCCGATATCGTGCTCTTGTCCTTAGAGAGTGGCCAATGCAAGTCTGCTGGCCAGTCATTTCCGTGTGAGTTGCATGCAATTCGAAGTCGTTGTGGTCAAACAGGCTGAAAGGGAAAGATTATGAAAGCCTCTACTGATATCTACCGGTTCTTCAGTCCAGCATCGATTCTTCAATTTTTTTTCCTTCTGCTCCTTGAGGAACTCAGCCTCCTGCTCCTGCATTTCCTCAATCATAACCTGATCAACACTCAACCCCACAGGAATGAAATGCCCCCGTGTCACCTCCCGGCCACCACAACATGACACCTTTTGTTACCTCTTGTTTTGCCGCCTGTGACAAATGATTTGTACAGTCGGTATAGCAACAAGAAATTCCAACCTGCCTGCGCCATGCACTCAGGATGCACAAAGGTGCTCTTCTGCTTTCCCTCATAGGCAGACTCTCCAAGTGGCATGAAGCATCGGGGGCACAGAGTAACCTGCTGGCCGAGATTCTGCGTGGAGTGTTGGGGAGTGGTCACCTTGAGAACTGAACCGCAGTCACAAAAACTCAACAATACACAATGTACACATGTTATCCAGTGGAATTACATGTACATACTGTACATATATCTGGATATGAGTCAAATCTTGAGACCCATCCAGCAACATTATCCATGTCACCGTCGCGCGCTTCCACCCCTGGCGTATCCCTTCGGTCACTCCTACCTCCTCACCATCGGAATCCACGTCCCAATAGCGTGTTTTTCTCTGGCGCTTTTCCTTGAAGGCCTGCTGTGAAAGATCTGAAAGAACTGGGACATTTTGGACACAGAATCTGTAAGGCCACCAGGGGCATGATCTTTCAGTCATTCAATATGATTCAATATGATTCAAAATGGTTCAATGTGATAATATGATTCAATCCTGCAAACATGATTCACATGATACTCAATTAATTATGGCTTTGGCTCCAGTCATGCCTCAGCCGGAGGATCGTTTTTCTACAATGGGCCGAAGTCCAAGCTGCCTTTGGCAGATCTATTGAACTGTGGAACAAATGCCAATACCTCCGCTTTTATGCATCATTATGATAACATTATGCATCAATGCAACCGGCCAAGATTTATTCTGAGAGGAAGTAGACCTGTGCCACGCCCACAATTGCTCCCAGGACTCCACCAAGCAGGATAAGGATCCACTCGTCTTCTTGGAAAACCGGATGTAGAATGTTCTCAAACTCATCGGGAGGCATCCTCTGTAGGCATTCTCTGTTTCGAGCTTCAATGTCTGTGACCTTGGAGATGTATTGAGAAGAAAGCGCGTGCAAGCGATGCGCTTTGTAGAGGCCTTGCACAGCTGGTGGTCAAATGAGGTGTATTGAACGTATGACTCTGTAGGACGTATTTTGAAACTCGTGAAAAGCAACTTGACTTGGAACAAATTATGTTGGAAACAACATGAAACGACTATCTTGCTGATGTTTTCCAGGGCTGTCAAGACATATAAGACATGTCTTGACATGTCATACGGGACACGTTTCAACTGCCTTGCCTTCCACAAGGGCAACCTTGAGATCTTCCTCAAGATCCCGATAGCCTTGCTGGCCAATGGTCCACTCAGCTAGCCACGTCGTACGCGAACCTAATATCTGACTCAGCACCTTTGCACTGTGCTCCATGTAGGCTACCTTCAGTCGTTCCCAAAGACCTGGGAGTGTCTGGAGATAACTGATGATCTTGCTGAAGGACAAAAAGTTGTCCTTCAACATCTTGGAGTAAAGCACGCAAACCTCTGGCTGTCTCTTCAAGAAAAGCCCTTGGATATCGCAAATGTGCCAGCCGAAGATCTTAATTGGCTTCGGGAAGCATGGTTTGAAGACCATCAAAATTGCCAGCCAATTGGTCACTATGCCAAGCAAAAAGCCTGTAACTGGCAAAAACACGGCACGGCCTGAGCTGCTGAGATGATTAAAAGCTAGGAGTTGCAGAAGTCCACAAACAAAACCCATGGCGGCACCGCAATGCTCGATGAACCGGAATTCTCGATCTCCAAGAGTCAAAAAGAACTGATTGAGCAATTCCTTGTTCTCCGTGAAGACTTTGACGATCATCCCGTCATTGTCAATGCCAAATTCATCGTTGCACAAGAGATTCGTGAAGTTTTTCCACAGCTCGGGTGCTGTTTCTTGAATCTTATCCAATGCCTGTTCTGTCATACTCGTTCGTATGGAGGAGGGCATTCTGTTATCAGTTCGTGGTAAGTACCTGACACGTACAAGCAAGGACCCGTATAGTAGTACATAATAGTACATACAAATACTATATAATGATAATGTGCGGTTTTCAGGACCAAGGAAGAAAATATGAAGAAGAAGAGGAAGAAGAAGAAGACGAGGATATCGCCAGTGTAGAATAGAACACTAAGGGACAAAAGAACAAGTCAAAAAAAAACTGCCTTGATTGTGAGGAAGCCACTTTTTAAGCACATGTGCCGTCGCATTGTCAATGACAACTCGAAGCTCGGATCTCACTTCGCTCACCAGCCTCTTGGGGTCTACTCGGCTGAGCCAGTCTCGAGGTCCCTCTAAGAAGGGTCTGGCGCATTTGTAGGACATTCGAGCCATTTTCTCACACTTTCTTGGCACCAGGCCTTGCCATCCAATGCCCATGCCAGATGATTGATATTGCCAGAGCCCAAAGAACTCAACAGGCAAAAACATCATTTGGATCGCCAACCAAATATGAAACCAGGTGAAAAGCAATGCAACAATGGGGATTGTCGCAAGAAGCGCATATCTCTTGGCCAGGATCTGGTTGGGCAGGCTAAGGTTGCTGTAGAGGAGTGTCAGCAAGCCAGTGGTTGAAAGAAGAGCTACGATTGTAAGCAAGGTCACTAATTTGTTAAGATAACCTACGCTTTGTTTGACGTGAGCCAAATCTTGCACGAGCTTCTCAGCTTCATGCCCTGGAGACTCTAGAGACTCTTCTCCTTCCAATTCAATGTAGGGAGTTGCAGATGCTGCAAAAGTTGGGTGGGCTATCTTTGGCTGAAGGGATGCTGAATTGGTTGCTTGGTACGGCACCGTGTCCCCAGGATTCAGCAGTTCTTCACCAAAGGATGGTGCAGAGAATCGACAGACAGGTCCAAGGCCACAAGTCATGGAAGGTCTGTCTTTGGCCGACAGGTCAGATGGGTAGACTGTTGCCCCGACATCTCTCTCAATGTCCAACTCTTCAATAGAACCCTCCCTTCGGGCGCGTCCACAACCTGGTGGACGACAGCGAAGGCTTGCCAACATGGCGACAGGGGGACAGCTATTGATCTGGTCCCCTGGAATCTGACTCTTGATCGGCAAATGGTGTCAGCAAATGCTATCGGCAAGTGTCAGCAAGACTTTGACTGTCATCAAGCTTGAGGCGAAGCTCTTACTAAGAGACTGTCTGGAAAAATGATATCAGCAACAAAGGAGGCCTTGTTATTGCTTCAGCTTCAAGAATCTTTGATCAATCACTAGTGGATGGTTGGAACATGTTGTCATCATTCCTGCTCCGTTCCTTGCCCAGAATCTAAAAGATAGAAACACGACCAAACCTTATGCCATTGAGGTTCAGTCTCGCTTGGAGTACAATCCCCCTAGCCAGCTCGAGCCTCTGCGGCTTTTATAACATCCTCAGATGTTTCTTTGACCTAGCGAAACAGCTGGCAGACTTCAGGGTGCATGGATGCCTGTCCAAGTCATTAATCTTTTGCTGTGCTTGGTGTGCATGCTTCAACTTTGGGTAAATGTGATTTCACGCAGCCGAAGATGAAAATGCAAAAGACAGGAGCGTAATATCCATCATACACGACATGAGCAGCAATGTAAAATGGTCTTATAACGCACGACCGGATCCGGGTGTGCCGTCAAAATAGCAAACGACAACCTCTCCAAAAAACTGGTTTGGGAGTCGCACTCCAAAGAGCATGCTGCCATATTCTGAAACGCGCAAAAACAAAAAATGGTTAGTGCATTGGAAACAGAACATAGCTGGCACGCATTGGCACTGATACCAGCTCATCGTTCAATCTGGACAGTTGTCATGTTTCTATCTGGACAAGTGTGCTTAAAGTAGAAGAAAGTGGAAGGGAGTAGAGGAGAGTGTTGAACAGAGATAGACACATCTAAGAAGATCTACAGTATATAGAAATATCTATCTAGACCTAGACATATCTGTAGACATGTCTATATCTATAGATATCTATCGATATCTATATATAGACATATCTAGACATTTGTCCTAGACATGTCGTGTCAGAATGTCAAACTTAAGCAGCGCCTTCTGAGGCAAAGCCCATGGGAAAGACTTTCGATTGTAGCCTGCATGAATCCCATCTCGCACTTCGTTGAACTTGGATTCATATCGATGGAGTGCTTCTCGCTCCTCAGAAGGAAGGGCTTAACCCAGCCCTCACAAAAAGGGCCCCTGTCGTTGATTAATTTCTATAAATTCTTTACATGTTTTACGAATAAAGTAATCTCTCAACTCAAGATCTCTCAACAAGTCACATCAGGACTGATCTTCTCGCCCTTCTCATCTTGTGTGGCTTCAGCCTGGGCAATATTAGAGGCACAATTTTTGCATCATACTTTATAATCTTTATATCTTCCTGCATTGATTCTCTCAGCTTGAGAAGCTCTGTGGTGTAGGGCTAGTCGGTTTGATTATTCTTCTCCAGCCACAGCAAAAACGAACAAACACACCGAAAGGATTGTGCAAGGACAGCTGGTAATCGGCGGCACTGTTTTAGAGCACGTGAGAGCACATCATGTGACATGAGAGAATGTGGCGCATGCCTCAACCAGGGCCTTTGGGCTGTCAGGGTCGCTGTCTGTGCTGCCTTCGGCCGTAGACTCCTCAAGCACTCAGCATCTGTGGAGAATTCTTCAAGGCTGGTAAGGCTATCCCCCGTATTATTTCAGGGGTCCATACTGCGCTTTTGCAAAACAGTATTGCTCCCTTAAAACGATTGCCGCAACTTTCCTATGTGCTGCTTTTGAATGGTTCTCATTTGTTCCCCTGACTTGGAAGATCTGTGATGCCCCTGCACAGGCTGTCCTCAGATGTAACTGTGCTGGCCTTCACCAAGAGATCCTTGCCCCTGAGGTTCATGGTGACCCAGCCCTGGCCAAAGAGGTGAGCCACAGCTAAGGGGATCAACAGAGGAAAACGAAGACACTTGTATAATGGAACACGCTGCACTTAACGTCTAATAAAGATCCATGAAGTTCCTTCTGGCATTCATTGCATCATTGCTATTTTCCGCTCAAAATCCAAAGATCCGGCGTAGAAACCCTCCCTGAGGACTTTGCGACGCCACACTGCCTGATGCCATGGAAGCTCTCAATCGCTCCCGAGCACCAGGCTGCTGATCTGTCTGTCGGAGCCCTCCTTCTGCTCCCTCTCCTCCTTTCTCTCCCTTCACCCCTTGCGCTTCCAACAAAGACTTCAGAAGTGGCGGACAGATCGGGTCTCCATGGATCTCCTGCAACACGGCGAGACAAAGACGAGCATCTTTGTGGTTTGCAGCAGTGATACTTTGAAGCACCACATCCAAAACCTGCAAAGTGGAAGGAGGCGGTGCTGGTGCTCCTTTGCCGATGCAAAAGGTGCGTACGCAGGTCACAAAGATATGTGCCTGTTGTAGCGAGAGCAGTTCCGGCTTTTCATTCCAAGCGGTGGTCCAAGCCTGGCACAATGCATCCAGAAGCTGTACCCCAGACAGGACCACTCTTCGACGAACTGGATCTGAATCATTGCCATGGCGACAAGCTTGTGCAAAAGCTGACAGCGCTAAGAAGGCGGCATCGCTTTGTGAGTTCGTTGGACCCAAAAGACCTTGAGCTGTTTGGGACAGAACTTCAAGACTTCCTGCCAGTACGGCTGTGTCGTCATTGCTCTCATTTGCCTTGTGCTTCTGGACATCAGCCGTTGAAGTTCCCAATGACGCAATCCGAAGATAAAGCCCTGCCATCGCGGATAAGGAGAGCGCCACTTCAGGTAAATCTGTTGGTTGTACCATCAATGATGTTTTGGCGATAGCAGCTGCACTGGCAGGCAACAAATCTGGACGTTCCAGGTGAACAAACATCAGAAGCTTCGCAGCTTTTCTGACGTCTGCAGGTGTTGCAAGTGCCCCGCCCATTCGTTGGCTCAGTTCCTGGACAGCGAAGTCGAAAAAGGGCGGGCACGAAATGTGTCCATCCTTTGATGCTGCCCACTCCAAGATGGAAACCAAGCGCGAAATTGACTCCTGACTATCTGGCAGCTTTTGCAAACCTTCCAGGGCTAAGTACTGGAGCAGCTTTGTCCAAGCTTCTCCACCCTCTAGTTGCAGTAAGGGTGCTGCAACTTCGAAGAACTCTAAACCATCATCTTGGCATACCAAGAGTATATTTTCTGCTGATGGAGATATGACTTCCCTTACAAAACTGGCAGCCTCTGAGCCCTCAGCTGGTAAAGTTGCAGCTATCCGAACTAATCCAGATAGACAGAGGCCCACTTTGTCAGGCTCACCATCTTGGAAGCTCCTCTGCACTTCGGACGCAAGAATGGGAAAGGTCTCAGCCAAGCAATCAGCCACTTGCTGTCTCTGATGCCCATTGATGGCTGCCATGAGCTCTCCAACAGCACGAGAGAAGTCCAGCAAGGATCGAAATCGCAACTCAGAACACCGACCTCGGGCTGCAGTTGCAATGGCTGCCACAGCATCCGGCACGATCAATGGCGAGCGCGCTAAACCCACGACAGCATTGCATAGATCTTGGGCACTTAATGCACTCAAGCACTTGCCTTTCTTCAAGAGGCCTTTCTGCAGTGCTACTGCTACATCTTCAGCACTGGCATTCAGATCTCTTATTTGGCTTAGTGGAGCTGAACTTCTGGTGGCAGCGAGTCGCGCAAGTGCTGCTGCCAACTCATGTCCTTCAAGCAGTTCGGCAGCAGTGGAGGCTTGCGAAGCCAGCTAAGATGCTGCTCCACAGCCAAGGCCTTCAATGGCCACATATGCAGCCAGTGCCTCAGGGAAGGTTGGCTTTTAGTCAGCTGACTTTGTAGACTTTTTGGGCTTTGTGCTAAACTAAAGCTTCAAAAAAAAACCTGAACCTGTCTGTAGTTAAGTTAAATTATGTTCACAGATTTTCCGAGTATGTATATAGAACATTGCAGAACTCTCACCAGGTCTTTCCAGCGCCTGGCCTCCCTGGCTTGTGCCTTGGAAAAGCTTTGACTTTCAGGGAGTCTTTTGCTCAATAGCTGCTGATAAGCCTCGGCAAATCGCTTCACCAACGTGGGCTCGGCCAAACTGCCCACGCGGCCAACGGCCATGGCGATCTCCGTGGATCGCTCCACGTGTTGCGGCAGCAGCTCCACTGCCTCTTTCAGCAGCTCGGAGCCAAGCGCGGAAGCACGTCCCGCATCACTCGCCAAGCGCGGCAGCCGGGCAGCACGCATCAGAAACCCATCTGAGCTTGCCATGGCTCAAACCGATTTCTATGTCTGAAACAAATGTATCACAATACATCATGTATTACAATACATCATGTATTACAATACATCATAATACGTCATTGTTTTTGCAGTTCTGTTTTTGCCCTCACATCTGCAGGGTGCAAGCAAGCCTCGATACAAGTGAATTTGTTCACTTACAAAGAAATATTACTTTGAAATCTACAATGATAGTGACAATATACTCTCCATATTATTGCTTTTTGTTTCAACACTGCAACATCCGAAGATAGTGCTAACGGGCTTGGCTGGAATCTGTGTGTTGTGGTCATGCTACTTGTGAAAGTAGAGGTGCGTTTATCTCGTGGATAAGTTGTCACCCTGTCAGATCTATTATGTGTACTGCTGACTCACAAGGTGCAGCCTCTTGCAGATTGTGTGATTGTGCCTTGCTCTGTGTTGAGATATTTACCGGCTGCGGCAAATCTAGTTCAGGACAGTGGATTGTTGGGTCCAGCGAAGACGGAGAAAAAACAACGGCCCCAAATTGGCCCCAAAGCATCCTATCCTATCTTTGTCCACAGCCCACTGCTCCTCTCCCATGCTACATGTTTGTCGCCTTGGAAGGGCCATCGCCCTGGACAAGCTCATACAAGAGGCGGCCCTCATGGCACTCCAAGCCCTTAACCTCAAGAGACTTCAAGAGACACCAAAAAACTCAAATAAACAAACAGCAACAAACAGCAAGAAACAGGAAGAAACAGCAACAAACAGCAGCAAACCGCAACGAACAGTTGCTGAAAAGGCAGAACAGCACAAAAGACTCGTCAAGGTCAATTGCAAAAGAGCAAAGCCAAATAGTGCCAAATAATTTGAACTCTTCCAACACAAAACACAAATCTGCAATCTGATGTGCTCTGCATACTTGGCACATGCAAACCACACCATCAACTTTCCAAGGTCGAGGCCAATGCACCAGCAGAGAGGCGGGCTACGGCATCAGAGCCAAGCTCGCGTTCTGAACGGACGATGATGCCGCCTGAGGTAAGGAGAACCGGAAGAATTCGGAAGGATATTGTTTCCAGGGGAGTATTGATAGATATTGATAGAATTGTTTGGGCAAGTTGATCCAAATTGCTGTCGCCAAGCCTCTATCAGCACCACCCACTACTCTGAAAAGCCCCAAATCACCTCAGCTGGGCAACTTGACCAAATACTCAACAATTATCTACTTGGAGCTGACACAGCTGACACTTTCCTCCCAGGGATTTGACTTCCTCTATCGCAGAACTTAATAACTATAAGTGGTTGGATGAAGTTTCAAAAACTCTCTTGGGGATTCTCATTATGGTTGCCAAGCTGCTCATTGCGTCGAGGTGCCTTGCTCAAATGCCCAGGCTATCTTGAGCCAGAAATGGCTATTTGCCTCAAGAAAACAATTCTACTTACATCTACTTACATCTACTTACTCTAGTTCTCTCTCTCTCTCTCTCTATTCCTGCAATCTATCAAGTTTATTTCTTTTCATAAAAAAATCAAACAAGCCTTAGCATGGCAAATAGGCAAATATGTTCCTCCTCGACGCCTACAAAAGACCTGACTGAATTTGCAACGAGCACCAACCATCACGAACCCATCACGAACCATGAGTCCAAGCCCCTTCTTTTCACGAAATTTCCCGTTGGCCTCCTAGGTGGTGCGCGTAGAACTGTTGGGTGACTACCCTGGACGCCAGGAACAACGAGTGGCATTAATGTTAATGAACAGCTGCTAAGGAATGAGAAAAAGTGTGATCAATTTTTGTCCAGCACAACAACTGCAACTACATTTCAACTTCAGAGGCCATGCAAGTTTGAAAGAAAGGTTGATGATTCAACTTTGTTTTTATATGCTTTTGTGTGATCGCTGGTGATACCAAAATGCGTAACTTGCCTTGTTTCTTTGGCAGTGCTTGGATGCTGGAGGTCCAGTCTTGAGATCCTCACAGCTCAACATTTCTGGAGTCTTGAAGCACTTCATCGATTTAGGGACTCTGATGACTATGACTATAGTTTCTTCCACTGCAACTGATCCAGTGCCACGGTTTCGTGCATTTGCATCAAGTCGACTCTCTTGATCCCGCACCGCACTGTGACTCACCTGAATGGATATTGATATTTCATGGACAGGTACGGCAAACGTACGACCAAGCATGTCCTTGCCTAAGCACCAACCTATGGATGTCCGTCTGCCTGTCTATGCATCTTCATGTCTGTACGGCTGTACCTATCTACTTACCTGCCTGCCTACCAACCTACCTATCTAATGTCATCTATCTATATACCTATCTACCTAGCTACCTACCTTTCTATCTATCGAATCTAATCTAAATCTGATCTAACCCAATCCAATCTTCTATTATCGAAGGAAGTTTGGAAGTCAAACTTCCGACAATATGGAGAGATGAAAAAGCAGTCAGCAGGGAGAAGAGTCAGAAGAGAAAAGATCAGAAGAAAGAAGATGCAGGTGCGCGAAAAGGTAGGAACGTCGCGAAACACTGTGTTTTTCCAATGATTTGTGGCTCCGGAGGGTCGAAAAGTAGGCTCGCTAAAGCGGCGGG